GTCATAATTTTAGTGGCAGGGTTGGTTCATTTGGAAGGCAGGTAACTTTACATAAACTTTCTAAAGAAGTGTACATAAGACGTGCGTGGATTCCCTTGATCAGTAGAAAAAAAACTTGCCTCAAAAACAGAACAAGATACTCGTAAGAAGGGATCCACCCAACAGAATACACAGGGGCCCAAGTACTCCTACAAATTAGAGCTTCGGTTAACGTCCCTACGCTCCTTATGCGGCGCCAAGTCAAAAAGTATCTCGCCGTGAACCTCTAGCAAGCTGGAGTAGGGCCCAGAACGTGCAGACTATTCAGTTAATACCACAAAGATAATAAGAGAATTTTACCTGGTTTAATATATCGACCACCTAATTCAACTGTCGCCTTCTTTGAGCGTCTTTCTGATTGACTTGCTATTGTATTTAATGAGTCCATCCCAGTTTTTCTCATGGATGACTTTAACATTGATATGTTGAGCAGTGGAAACAATGTTTTTAAACAAAGTATGGCACAAAGTAATTTATTAAACCTGATTAATGAATCAACAAATTTTTTTCTACCCGAGGTACATGTATAGATCTAGTTTTCACTAATAATCCAAGTATTGAAGATAATGTATATGTAATGATAATGTATATGTAATAATATAATAATAATAATATAATGAATTTCTATATCGCCCTATATAATAAAAATATAACCCTAAGGCGCTTTACATGGCATGTACATAAAACATTGGCACATTGCATATATATTTATCACTTAAAAATGATGAAAACAAAAATACAGTTGCAATGAATTAAAAATCTAATGGTTAAGAAAAACAAATAAAAATCACTAGATAGATAGATCTAAAAAGTTAATCAAAAGCTAATTTCTAAAAATGGGTTTTCAGTTTTCTTTTAAAACACTCGACTGATTTGGCTTGTTGAATGTGCACCGGGAGACTGTTCCATAAATGGGCTGCAGAATAGTTAATTTGTCTTTAACCACATGTCCCGGTGCGCACCCTCGGTAAATTGAGTTGCAAACTTCCGTCCAATCGTAGAGTACGGTTAGTTTTACGGATAGTAATTAGTTCCTGTAAATATTCGGGAGCAAATCCATACACTGCAAGGTAGGTATATAAAAGGATTTTGTACTTCGGGCGGAATTCCACTGGAAGCCAGTGCAAGTCAGCGAGAATCAGAGTAACGTGATCTCTTTTTCTTTTCTTTGTGATTAGTCTAGCTGCATTGTTCTGGATTTTTTATAACCTTTCCACGAAGCTCTTGTTTATCCCAAATAGTATACTATTTCCGTAGTCCGGTAGAGATGTAACCAGGGAGTTAACGAGAGTCTTGCATGCATCAGTTGAGATGAAACTCCTAATTCTTCCAATGTTGCGGAGATGATAATTGCACGTTTTAATGATGGACGCTACTTGCTTTTCCATGGTAAGAAAGCTATCAAAGTAGATGCCGAGATTACGTACAGACGTTACACTTTTGATGTCACTTTCTCCAACTTTAAGTTGTAAAACTGGCACATTTTTGGATTGGAATTTCGTTGTAAAAATTATCAATTCGGTTTTGTCCTGGTTTAATTTAAGAAGATTATTAGACGTAGCATCTCGTTTGCAAACTTGCCTTTCCGATATAAGTTCTTGGATGCGCTCTAACTTTCTAAAGATAAATCAAGAAAAAACGGAGCTTATTATCTTTGCCCCAAAACACAGAATTCATCATTTTAATGAAGTTAGCATCAATTTTGACGGGAATAAAATTAAAGTCTCATCATGTGTGAAAAATTTAGGTGTTTTCTTTGATTCTGTGCTGAACATGGATTGATCACCATATTTGAAACATTACCAAGTCCTGTTACCATCAACTGCGAAATATTGGACGCATTCGACCTTTTATATCAGAAAGTGCTTGTAAGACCTTGGTATGCTCACTTGTAACCTCTCGTCTAGATTATGGCAACGCCTTACTATACGGTATATGCACCAGTTCCTTAACAAAACTTCAACCAGGATAATTACTCGTACAATGAAACATGACCATATAACACCTGTGTTAGTCAACCTACATTGGCTCCCCGTAGAACATCGAATTCAATACAAGCTGCTTCTACAGACTTTTAAAGCTTTAAACGGAACATCACCACTATATATACAAGAACTGGTTCAGGTTTACACGCCTAGAAGATCTCTACGCTCAGAGAACTCCATGTTCCTTGTTCAGTCGCGTGCGCGGACTAAATCATACGGCGACAGGCGATTCGACGTGGCTAGTGCAACATTGTGGAACAGTCTTCCTCAAACTTTGAGATTGGAAAGAAATTTTATTCGTTTTAAAAAATTATTAAAAACTTATCTATTTACTACTGCATACCCAGATTATTCCTAAGAAGCTACTCTTATTTGTTTTAAATTTTTAAATTTAAATTATCTTATAATATGGGACATTACAGCAATTAACATGTATAAATATTTCTTATCTTTTTAAAAGTTTATATATGTATATTCTTATAGCTTTAATTTGTAATCTTTTAAAAGTTTATTTATGTGTATTCTTACGGCTTTGACTTGTATTTTTAGTCCTATAGTGCTTGTAATTTTTATGTTTTATGCTTATTTTACAGCTTATATTTTATGTACAGCGCTTTAGAGTAATTTTATATTATATTTAGCGCTTTATAAATTGTGTATAATAATAAATAAAAAGATTAGTCGACATCCAGGTTCCTATGTCCTGCAAGCAATTTTCAAGTCGGTTAAGATAGTTGTTCCTGTTTTCACGAGATTTTATCATCATGTACACCTGGGTGTCATCGGCATAGCAATGATATTTGAAACCGTGCTGACGACAAATTTCTCCAATTGGTTTAGAAAAAAGACTATAAAGATTTGGTCCCAGAACGGATCCTTGTGGTACACCAAACTGAAGATGGCAAGGGTCTGACGTTTCCGTTCCAATGATAACACGTTGTTACCAGTTAGTAAGGTATGATTTTATCCACGCTAATGATTTTCCACCAATGCCATAAGATGTCTCTAAACGTTGGAAAAGTATTGTGTGGTCTATGACATCAAAGGCAGCTGAGAGATCAAGGAGTACATGTACCATTACAGCAGACGACTGATTATCAAGTAGCATATGTAGCATCTCCATTCTGTAGTACTCATTCACCAGTTAGTTTTGATATAAAAAACAAAACTTTCGAACAATATGCTTATAAGCGAACTATAAGAAATTATGATGATGTTAATTTTATAAATATAGAAAATGATCTTAATAAAGTCAATTGGGATTCCACAGTCTTTAATTCCTCAAACATAAATGAAATATATGATAACTTCTTACACACATATGATGGTATCTTGGATAAACATATACCTAAAAAGGCAGTCACAATTAGGCTACGAGATAAACCACTTATGAATAATAGTATACGTCTAAGAATAAGGTATACACAGAAAAGCAAAACGTAAAGATTGCCCAAACTTATGGTGTCGCTTCAGAGAGCTGCAAAATTGAGTAATTTCTATGGTTAGAAATGCAAAAGAAAAGTATAAAGAAACACTTACATCTCAAATACTCACTAAAAGAAATACCACCAGGTAAAAGGTGGCGAATTACGAAATCAATTGCAAAACTTTCTAACAAACATAAACCTATGCCTCCTAAAAAATCAAATGGTCAAATTTTACTTCATCCATTAGAAAAGGCAGAAGTATTAAATAATTTTTACTCAAAAGTTTCTAGTGTTGATGAAAGTAAAACCTTACCTGAGCATAGTCCTGGTCCTCCCTTAGTAACAATTGAAAACATAATTGTCACTGAACAAGATGTTGCTGATCAATTAAACAAATTAAATGTAAATTAGCCTCCTGGCCCAGATGGTATCCAGATGGAATAACACCAAAAATTCTTAAACAATTCTCCTCCTCTATTTGTAAACTACTAGTTAAACTTTTTAATAAATCATTTGAATTAAAACGTTTACCAAATGTGTGTAATCAAGCTAATATTACCCCAGTTTTTAAGGGTAAATGTAGTCCTGACTTAGTTAATAACTACAGGCCAATTTCACTAAGTAGTGCTGTTTACAAAATTATGGAAAAAAATTTCTTTAAATATTTGTGCAATTTTATATTAGCAAACAATATCTTAACAAAGTACCAGTCAGGATTTCAACCAAATGACTCAACTGTGAACCAGTTAGTGGAAATTTTTAATACAATTATATCTAATCTAGACAAAGGCAAAGATGTTAGATTCATTTTCTGTGATATTTCAAAGGCTTTTGATAGAGTTTGGCATAAAGGTCTACTTTTCGAATTAGAAATTTCTTATGAAATTCAAGGTACATAATTAATTTTCTATATTTGTATCCAGATATATTTTTTTAAATGATACCTTATTTCTTAAGAGTATCAAAAATGCTTCGGTAGATAGATGCATATTATTATTAAGAATAGAAAAACAATTAAATTTTTTTTTCACCAGATAGATTTTTTAATATGAATTTTATTGATCAAAAGCAAAGGGGGATGACTCTTAAAGGACGGGTCAGGGCAAAAAATTATGACACATTCTGCTCTTACATTTTGAGACTAAAATATGAAGATTATGTCTCCATATATTCAGTTTTCAGCCAGTATATAGCCGTTATGCATTCAGATTCATTAAATCTGAGGCTATTATGGATCGGATAGCTTAAAAGTTTACTTATCAAGGTGATAACCAGCATTTACTGGTAATAATTGCTCATTTTAATTGTTTGTTTATAACCTAAACGCAAATAAATGTATTAAGCATCGGAAAACACTCCAATTAAAATTTCCAGATGAAGATATTATAATAAAGAAAATAATTGATCTTTTTAGGATTGAAATTTATCTGAGGTGCATTCTTTTACACAATAAAAAAGATTAAGACTAACCTATTAAAAAAAGCTTCACGATCGACACGTTAAGCAAATTTGTTCTCCTTTTAATGAGGAGGAAAGTTGTAAAGGTATATAAAGATACTAGAAAAGAGAGACACGTGTCTAGGTAATAATTAAAAATTATCCCTCTATTGAAGAAAGGGCATACCGGACACACCGTACATATTGAAATCATATCTAAAAATGTACCGTGCGTTTTACTTTCTGCGCTTTTCATATCTTGGCTTTTTATGCAAAACGGTTAGACCAGAGGCAACGTTCGGACACTTTGGCGTTAGAATTGACGCCAATCCTCCAAGCTCATGTTCAGAGTTCCAAAACGTCAGAAATACGCTTTATTGTTTTTCAACTTGTTTGATGAATCTACCTTCTCTCAACATGTTCAGTCATGATGACGTTGATCTGCGGTGTGTGTGCTGTGATGAATCTCCTGGTAATGGGAGTTCTATGAGTGGTACACAGTGGAAAACATACGTACCTGGTAGGTCCAATCCGTCTTAAAATTGTTTTTATAATTCGTTGCCATGTAAGAAAGTTTCTATTATTTTATATCATGTAGTTTTTTTAACAACAGGACTGTTTGAAGCTATTTCAGTTTGGAGGGGGCACTATCAAATTAAAACAAATTCTTTACTACCAAAAAAAACGTCATCAAGTATTTTTTTTATTGAGAGGGCATCAGCATATAGTAGCTAAGTTTTCAATAGTATTCTGAATATCGGCAAAATTATAGGAGAGACACCCCCTGCTACCCGGTTAATTATGGCCATGTTAAAAGACAGTTTATTTATTCTGACTGATGGAGTTTGTACATGTAACGTTACTATTACTGTACAAGAAAGACTATTTCACTTTTTTCTACCTCCTCTATTAGTTCAAATACAAGCAAATAAAGAACAACAACAACTACTACTTCTAAAGAAACTCTTTCATTTTTCATTTTTTTTCTTTTATTTAACAGCCTTTTGTCCGTCTGGATATACCAAGCTTCAATATTATGACTTGAATCTCTGCCTGAAGTACGTACCGACGTTAACTAGGTACCCGGATGCTGTTGTCAATTGTGAAAAAGACGGAGGTGACCTAATCAGAATTGATACGACAGCAAAGTATGACATCTTCAAAAATGTTGCAGGTACGAATAAATATATCGAGAGTGAAAAATTTTAGCAATAAGTATGAAAGGATGCCAACGATTTACTGTTTCTAGTTAACCGTTATTTATTCATTCTTAATAATTTCCATAGAAATACGCACACTAACTATCAATTTCCACCTAGACGCCCGCGTGGCGCAGTGGTTAGAGCGTCTGCTCTAGAGTCGCGAAGTAAGGAGTCAAAACTACGTCGCGGGCTCAAATCCCACTGTGGGACGTAGAGACCGGTCCTTTTGATGAGAACGCATAAACCGAGGACCCGTGTCGCAGTAGGCGCTGGTAGGAAAAGGATCACTCCCTGCGCTTTGGTCCTAAGTGCCGAGTACAGGACAAAATTTGCAGCTCTCCATCGGCAAGTGATGGCGTCTCCATATGAGTGAAAAATTCTCGAGAGGGACGTTAAGCAATATACAATCAATCAGTTCCCGATTACATTTTGCACCCATTTAATTCCATGATTAATGACAATTTGGCCATAAAATCTTTGTCTAATACATGTACATTTAACAGTTCAGGTTATCGATGCATTATATTAATGCCAGCGCTATAAACATGTAGTAAATCATCCATAATTCCAGCTCTTGAAGAAAGGGGTAGATGATATTTTCCATTGAAATTGGACTTTCAAAGATCACCTTATTTTGAATTAGTCTTGGATATGATTAAATTTTCTATGTCTCATTTCTCATGAGTCAGTATACAATGCTGTTTTAAGTACTTAAATGAATTTTAAATAAAGGAATTTAACTGGAAACATTGTCAATCATCATATCATGATTAAATCATTGATTAAATTGAATATCATATCATTCCTATATTCATTCATTAAAGGAATATATGCAGTCAATGAAACTATTCATATCTGGGTACAAGGGGTAAAAGAAAATGGACAGTGGGAATTTCATGATGGTTCACCGATACCAGATGTCTGTTCCCTGTCTCAATCCAACAAAACTGAAGAAATTCACATGAGGAGCATAAGTGATAGAGATTTTAAATGTGTCGATGCTGCAGCGGCTGTTCACTATTGTTACATGTGTGAAAAAATCAATTTCTAGTGAAGTTTGTTTAACAAGGATTTTATAATTAGCCTGTATAATAAAGATTTAAGCCTGATCCTGTTGACTTAAAAAATATGAAATAAATTTAATTTATTCTAGTGATTATCTTTTTTATCTCTAACTGAAATCCTACTGAAAACGAATTATAAAATCATGCATTCTTATTGGCTAAGAATTAATTTTTATATGTTTTTAAGATAAGTTGACGAAAATTTTTCTGCCCCCTTTCAAAAACAATACTACTTGTCTGAAAAATGGTAAGAAAGGGTGCTAACATAGCTAAATATTCTAAACAAACATGAAGCTATGTCTAAACAATTCTGGAAGGTGCAAATTCCTAAGAATACTGACAAGCACATTTAAAATAAAAAACCTTGAAAGTAAAGGACAGTCGCACTTTACCGGCGCGTACAAATTACAGGGAAATAAAACGTGCTTTCTCTCTATAAGAGAGTCACGTGTCAGCGTGACGATTTTGCTAAAAAGGCAAGGAAATACAAAATTAACCTATTTTTGAATTCCGTGGCATTTTTTATGTTAAATATCTTTGTTTAATTAACGAAGTTATTAATTAAAATGAAAGCATATTCAAGACAAACCATTCACTTTCATTCCGTTGGCCACAAAGTCATGACGTTGATAAGCACATGACTTATATCAAAGCTGTGATTAGTCAACGTAAATGACGTAAAATAGAAAGTTTGAATTCTACTCTAAACAGTGATTCAGAGTGCTCCTTATTTGCGATTATTTCTATAGTGTTTCTCATGAATTTTAGCGATAAATGTGACCCATGGTTTATGGTAATGTTAAATCAGAGCAAGTACAAAATTTGTAAACATTCAGTGAGGGCGGTCTTGTTTGGAGATAAAGCAATGGGCAGTATAGGAAAATAAAACGTAAAAGACGCGTTCAATCTATCATTATCAAAGTATTTGAAATGCAGTACCTGGAGATTTTCATTTCGCGAAACAATGGAGACTTAATTATAACCAACCATGAGTCTAAATGGAATGCGGTTAAGAATTGTCTAATAAAACATAATTGCAAAAGCGACACTAGGATAGTAGCTAATTAAATATTAATAAAAGATTGGAATACGGTGACACGAATCTCAATCTTACCACAAATTTTTATAACGACTTAGGTAATGGCTTTCTTGTACGTATTCGAGGCTGCCGATTTTTTAGCAAAATAATTCAGTTAATGACAAATAACAAGGTTAGTAACTATAAGAATTTTCATTATAAAATAAGCTGTCACTGATATCAACTATTCTGGACTTTAATTTATCGTGGGAAATGCTTGTGTATAAAGTTGAAAAGTCGTAAAAGTGTAAGTGTTGATTTTGGTAAAATCTTGTGATTCAAATTGTCCAAAAGCTCATTGGAATTTTTGGGTGTCCGTATCTTATTTACACCACTTCTTGAATATATTGTTGAACAGTACTATCGAAGATTATTAATCACTTCAGAAGAACAGATGGTTTCATAATGTCCTCAATCTTTTAATACGCGATTTAAACATGGATCTGATACATTTAATCTATTTTGACAATTGTTATTCTCTTATTTTTATATCTTTCCCATCGCCTTGTGTAATCTTCAACAGAATTCATGTTTATGAAATTGCGACTCCAATTTAAGGATCGGGTTCCCCATATTTAGGACCTTTTAAAAATAGTGATCTAAGGTCCTCGTGGTTGTTTCTGCTAATTGTTGTTAAGAATTCAGATACCAAATTTCAGTGTAAATCTGCACGCACAAAATTTGGATGTCTAGTTTTCATTTTTTTCAATAAAAAAAGATATTCTTAACTTGCCTTATGCTCGAGACAATTATGTGAAAAAAACCCACTGTAAAAGCATTCTTTTTGGTGTACAGACAGGTAATTCGGACATTAAAAAAGTGATTAATATACCTTTTTAGGTCCTCGTGGTTGTTTCTGCTAATTGTTGTTGAATTCAGATACCAAATTTCAGTGTAAATTGCACGCACATAATTTGGATAGTTTTCATTTTTTTCAATAAAAAAAGATATTCTTAACTTGCCTTTTCGAGACTGCTACAGACAGGTAATTCGGACATTAAAAAAGTGATTAATATACGTTTTTACTGCATAACTTCAAATGAAAAGCTTGTGTAATCTTCAACAGAATTCATGTTTATGAAATTGCGACTCCAATTTAAGGATCGGGTTCCCCATATTTAAACTTCAAATGAAAAGCAAGAAGATCGACATAACTTTATTTAAAAGGAGAAAAAAAGTAGATTTTTTTATTCCACTATAATTTCCATTTTTCTTCACGTGTGCATGTATATGACCTAGGAATAATGTGCTGCCTATAAATATCGTAGTCTTAGATCCAACAGCAAAAAAGATTTCAAGACCAAACATTCTCATTATTTACGTTTGAAAAGAGCTGTTTTCACAAGTCTTAAACATTAACTGAAATATATCCACTTGATCATCCTTCAAGTTGTCAACCCAATGTAACATGTCAGAATCCCTAATTAACTTGAACAAATCTGAACAATTATATGCATATATAAAGGATTTAAATGAACTTTAATTTCAAAAAATAAAGCTTGTTTAGATAAAATTGATTAGCAGTGATTTGTAAATCATAACAATTTGGGAATGAAGTCTTCTATTTGCTACTTGCGACCAATGATGCCGATTTAACAGTCGCAAAGTAAAGTTATTGGTATTTTATCGACTAATTAAAAATAAACTGTCCAAAGAATTCATGCACTGGTTTACATGTATTATGTTTTACAAAACGGGACAAGCAAGGAGCAATAATTCAATATTTATGTTAGCATAAACTAACATTCAAATCATTCAAAACTTGTTAAGATATATTTAATAATCAATTTCATGCAAATTTAGAAGCTAATTAAATCTTTTCTAGGAAATTTTAATGTAATCAATACAATAGAAAACTTGTTTTTTGTTATGTCAATAATTGAATTCATAAAACGTTTTTCAATTTAAGATAAAAAAAAGAAGAAAATTGTCAGAAGATTATTTTAAAACTGGGAGAATTACCATCTGCAGTACAATTTAAGCTGTTTTAAATCTTTAAATTATGAAACGTAAGCTAAAGACAAAGGAAAACAATTTAAAAAATTATTGATATGAAAACAAATTGGAATAAATGCGCATAACCATTATGCATTCAATATTTACTAAAGTTCATAGTAAACTATAAAACAAATTACTTTACGGAAATTAAAAGATTTGAATGAGATAATTTTCATGGTGAAGACAAAGCACTATCCCCATAATCTAATAGAAGTTACTATAGCTTTAGAAGTACTAAACTTTGTTTGAAGGGCTCAGTTTAAAATGTGCCATAAAATTAATTTTGTTTGGATCGTGTGTCAATGGTTTTTATTCAACTCAGCAATGCAAAATGACATATACGACAGCTATGGGAAGAGGATTTATGACTTTGAAAACACTTCATGTTTGCAGGTCGAAAATATTAGGAGTACTTTATTCTGTTTCTCTACTTGTTTGAGGCAATTACAGTCCTTTTACTTGTTCAGTTACAATGAGTCTTTAAAACTTTGTAAGTGCTGTAACTTTGCTTCCGGAACCAGAAGTACATTGAATACTACAGGATGGAAAACATATATTCCTCGTGAGTATAAGATGTGTAAAAAAAAAATATGTATGGTTTTTTTGAAATATAGTAGCATTAAATATCATGTCTTTGATTTTTTAATATGTAAGGTTTTTGAAGCATAGAAAACGATAATAATGAATGATTAGTAGAAAGATCTTCGAAGAAAAGAATATTTGAGACAGCTTTACTAGACAACATCAGGGATGCTATAACTCTAATCACACTTACATATTCTTTGAATTAATATTGTTCTGATTGTTTAATTTGGAAAAAAGATATTGACCAAAAATAGAATGATTCAACTCAATCGTCCATCGAGGTACGATTAGAAAACATGAAAAATAATAGGCAAAAAATATATAACAGGTGAAAATGTCCTTATTAAATGTCCAATGTAAACCTTGGCACTTAATTTCATCTCTATTTATTATTCTGTTTTTAGGTTTATAGAGACCTTGATGTGAATTATAAATTAAAGCAATACATGCAGTTCTGTGGGGGTGATGCGCAGATCGTTTAAAATTGATATAAAGATATTGCCCTATGAAAATGAGTTTTTGAAAAAGGACAATATAATAAAATAATCTTCATTTCTTTTGTTAAAAGCAAACTGTCCAAAGGGTTATGCAACCTTTAAGTATTCCTATTCTGAACTCTGCCTGAACTATGTACCGATCCCGGCCCCATACTGGGATGCAGTCAGTAAATGTGAAGACGAGGGAGGAGATCTTATCAGAATTGATTCTTCAACTAAATACAACATATTCAAAACATATGCAGGTATGTATAGACAAAAACATAGATTGACAATAATAATAGTGTTTTCTTTCAGTTGAACAATGTGAACAATAATCGTAAGCGTAACATTATCACTAGTATGAAATAAAAAAAAAATTGATGCCTTCTTTAAATGTGCTTAAAATCTTAAAAACTGATTATGCATACTTCAGTGCAATTGTTGCGGCTTAAAGAGAATAAAACACGAACCTCGATAAAACACGAAATGACTTCAGCTTTACCATCCTCAACGTTCCTTATTTATGTCGTAATATTCCGTTATCAATGATTATGTTTCATTACATCTCCCATCTCATTTGCTACTAAAGAGCATGCACAGTGTAATACAATTTTTAAATTGAGTCAAGCTCGTCTCACAGAACTTTATGCAAAAGGAATTTCATCACCATCGTTTCAATTCAGCATTTTGTAACTTTTTATGTTTTAATTGTTTTAATGACCTTTTAGCAAATATGTTCTATGTTGTATTTTGGCTAATTTGTTAAAATTGAAATGAAACATACGGAGATAACGAACAGTGTTCAGGATGAAAAATTCATAAACGAATAAAAAAAAATAGGAGTAGAGCAAACACGGACCTCCGAAAATCATAGGTAGGAT